AGAGCTGAATTTATGTTTTGATGAAAGAATCTATTTGTAGCAGAAGTGGCTTATTTTCTTTAAGCAACCTGCTGGAGCATAGGTATATTAGTTTTATAGAATTGCTTTTTCAAAATTACTTCATTTCAACATAAGTTGTACAAAATGGACACTTTCTGAATGTAAGGTAAGCAAATAATAGCTCTACAAAAAATTGATTATAGACTAAGATTTCAGTCTTTATTGAACTCCATGGGACTTGGTTATGCATGTCTAATCATGCATAGGATTGTAAAGTTTACAGTATGGATGCTGATTTGGAAAATATTTGATGCGAAGAATTTATCTACCTATCATAAATTCCATAAGGTATATAATTGGAAAAGTAGAGTAGAGTAGAATAGAGATAATAGATAATAGATAATATAATAATATATATGGCTTTCCATCTCATAGCAGTGACTCTGGGTACTTTATAAGTTCAACATATGCATATAACCCATGATGCTTGAGGTCAAAATAAAAAACTCAATCAGAAAAACCAGTTTTTGATGCTAGTGTACAGTAAGTGGTATGCCATATAATAATGAATCTGCCAAGTAACATAGTATATACCTGGGGCTCCTACAAGCCTCTCTTTCATACTAGATATTCTTAATTATCAATTCTTCTGTCACTGGTGCTTTATTATGAATGCAAGTACCTAAATTATATATTTAGGAATCCACTTGAGATTGTGATTTCATCAACCATTGCAGAATATATTTGTCAGACTTTCAAAAATATTCATAAAATTTCAATTTTCAGTTTCTTGACCTGAAAACTATCTTGCAAAAATTAAAAGAATCAGAGTTTCATGTACATATATAATAGTAACCTCATATTACAATAGGCTACTGTTGACAAACTGCTTGATAGGAACTACTGTAGAAGTTTCTTTGTTTCTTTGGGGACAATAGGGATCATAATTTTCAATGATATCCATCAACATACTCATGTTTAGTTCTGGGTGTCACTATCTAAAAGGATCCAGGTAAGCTTGTGGTATGAAAACTCTTTGCTAGAGATCCTGGAAAGTCACTACTTGTATTAACTGGTTATGTATAGAGCATCTTCCATCATTTATAAGGTTGTAAAAGCCATTCTTGATCATTTTACAAAGCTAACTTGTCCCAATTGTTTTTAAAAAGAGCATGTTAGATTTTTGATGAGGTCTGGCAAGGCAAGATCTTGAAGTGTTATAAGCAGACTGTCATACTGTTCATTTCCTGACAAGATGCTTCTGCTATATTTAATAGCGGAGCAAAAATATGATTCATATGCCTAGCATGTCAAGTATATGAACACCATTATGAAGTGATGATGTGTTTACATACCCTTTGTAAGAAGATTAAAGCATTTCTAATTGTCCCTTTTTTGAACCTAACCTAATGTTTTTGGTGTGTCCCATAGAATAATATTGAAAGAATGAACAAATCAGTGGTGGAACCATCTGAGATTTGCCTAATTAGAACTCAAATTGTTCCCATATTGGAAGTTACATGCGTATAATGCCTTTTGGAGCAAAGAATAGAAGAAATATGTAAAGGTCAGCCAACAATACACTGCAATGAAGTCTATTTCCATATTTTTTGAGAAAAGGACCTTTCTGAGCAATAAGACATATTTGATTTTACTAGAAACAGATTTCAGAATAGTCTTATCTGGTTTGAGGGGGATCAATTCTGCAAACTATTGCAGATTCATATTAACAAGATTTTTTTGATTATGATGTATTTCAATTTACTTTATGAGATAAAATGCCTGTCCAGTGTGGAATATTATGATATTGTAATAGGACTATATTATTATAATGGAATTATATATAGCAATGATACATGATAGTCTAATGATATTTTCTGACATAAGATTTTATATAGCAGATAAAAAATAGCTTTTCCCCATCCCAGTATCAATGTCTGTGATGTTCCCAGTCAAACTCCGAATACTGAATTGGATGGAAATAATGCTGTATTCCAAGGAGACTGATCCAAGTTATTAACAGTCTTTACCATTGTCATTAACAGAAGAGCAGCCTTCCTTCCTTCCTTCCTTCCTTCCTTCCTTCCTTCCTTCCTTCCTTCCTTCCTTCCTTCCTTCCTCTCTCCCTCCCCCCCCACCCTCTTCCTTGCTATATCAAAATACTGCTTTTTACTCCATATGATGATCGTGCATGTATGTAACTGGGCCAGAAGGAAGCATTATTTTGAGTATAGGAACATTTGTCATCTTTTAGACTGCTTTGTTTACAGCAAATTTCAACTTCATGCATTCTAATGGATTTGAGATAGCTGGGCAAAGTCCATGTGGGATAAAATAGCAATTCTTCTCACATGTATGCACTTTTGAATCTCTGTAGGATTGGTGGGGTTTTGCCAAAAAAATGTTCACAGGACCCCCTCTTGATGAGAAAAATTATTAGTAAACTTGGGAGCACATTCACTCCTGGAAACCATATAAAAACCAATACATGGTGTTTTTCTTCTGCTAATGATGGCAGTTTGGCAATATTATCTGCTGAGATAATCAGCTTTGGTAGCAAAAATATTTCTCATCACTCCCTTTTTGGCTCAGTTCTCTACGAGAAAAAAAAGAGCAATGTAAATAGAGCCCGTGTGAGTGGGCTGTTAATGGAAGAGTTGCCAAGTCTATATGCAAGTTGCTATGTACAACGGCAATTATGGAAATTTCTCCCCAGCTTTTTAATCGGTAGAGGCTTACAGACTTTTTAAATTAAGATGTTGTCAAAAATGTGTTGCTGGCTATTCCTACCCTTATTGCCAAAGGAGCTTCTAAAACAACAAACATTATTACCGTAAGAATCCCATGGCGGCTTCTTGCAGATATATACCTAAACGTTGTTCTATAGAGCTCCATTGTCTTCCTGCCTAAAATAATGAAGATATAATTTAAATAGCTAGGCTGCTGCAGATTTTTTTTTTAAATTGCTGATACATTTGAGTGACATTTCTATAGTCTTTCCCTCCCCTGATATTAAGTGATGATTTGTTTCATCATAGATGATGAAGTTACACATAGATCTATGAGTAACTTTGCCATCTGTTCATTATTTTAAAACGAAACTATTTACCATTTCAACAATATAACAAGAATTTAGCATGGCTTTTATATCTGTGGGGTGAACTGGAAAGGGATGCTATGGATAAATTCACAAAGGTATAATAATATGATAATTTTGATTTATTAATTATTAATTTATTAATCAAAATTAGATATCGCCCACCTAATTGACTCTGGGCAGTTTACAGATAAAAACATACAGTGTAAAAGATAAGAGCTGAAACAATGAAAACTGAATGAGGCCAAGGGAGTGCTTTCACCAGCCATTCCCAAAGTGGCATGTTGCTCTTTGATCCACACATGAATTGGCAGAGCCTGGTTTTCATGCTCTTTGGAAAGCTGAGAGAATGGCGGCCAACATCTTGCTTTGGAGCCAAGATGTTCCATGGGTTGGGGGACAATGACAGAGAATGGTGTCTTCTTAGATCCCACCAGTAGGAATTCTTTAACTGACAGGGTCTGTAACATACCTTATCTACCAGGAGTGAAATCCAGCAGGTTCTGACAGGTTCTGGAGAACCGGTAGCAGAAATTTTGAGCAGTTCGGAGAACCAGTAGTGGTAATTTTGAGTAGCTTGGAGAACCGGCAAATACCACCTCTGGCTGGCCCCAGAGTGGGGTGGGAATGGAGATTTTGCAATATCCTTCCCCCAGGAGTGGGGAGGGAATGGGGATTTTGCAGTATCCTTCCCCTGCCCCGCCCACCAAGCCACACCATGCCCACCAAACCACAGAACCAGTAGTAAGAAAAATTGGATTTCACCACTGCTCTCTACCTAACTGGGTGGGACGAGTTGGGACAAGATGCTTCCTTATGTAAACAGAACCCATTACATGAAGGATTTTAAAGGTGATAACCATCACATTGAACTGGACCTGGAAACAAACTGGCACCCCCAATGCAATTCATATTTTACTATTTTATGAATTAAATAATGGCATCATTATGACATAGCGTATCTATGAATGTTTTCTGTTTAAATTCTCAATACACAGATGCTTCCTAGACGTAATAGATTTTCTGTCATTTATTCTAATCATCCAAAAGGCTCTGCTGTGGACAGAAAAACAGTAAGAAAAGTGCACTGTATCACAGCAATAATGGCCATGCAACATATTGCAGTATGTATATCAAACAGCTCAGGCAGAAAATAAAGGGCTGTTGCTGAATTAAATTTGAATACTGTCTTTGTCTTGAAGTTTGGTTTTTCCCAAGAGTAAAAGGCAAGTACAGGATGGTGGATTAAGAGCCATGCTGTAGTTACTCTGCCAAGCACAGAAATCTCTCCAATTCTTTCCTCTGTACCATTTTCCCTTCTAAATTGTGCATATTTCTCCACAGATCTCCCTGCTTTCTTCAGTGGCATTAATTTTTCTGTGGCATTTTTCTTCTTAGCTAATCCTCTGATTCCACCAAACACCTCAACAGGATTTTCTACTGATATTTTACCAATATTGAAAAATATTGAAATATTGAAAAACAAATAAAACTCTGATAACCTTCATTCAGCCCATGAGTTTGCTTTTCTTTTCTTTTGTAAGGTGATGCTTCATAATGGTGCTGAGAGGTAGATGAGCTCACAAAGGGGAGGTATATAAAATCTTTGGGTGGGCTGAATGAAAGTTGCTCACTGACGAGTTTTACTCTGTGTGCGCGTTGACTAGTGGTAGCTTAGATCAGATTTTGACTTTCTTTAACTTTTCAGTACTTATTTGTTTGTTTATTTGCTTATTTTTTATTTAATATATTTGTTTACTTAGATTACTTTACACACAATATTTATTAATTTATTTCTTATATTTACTTATATTTATTATATTTACTTATATTTATTTATTTATTATATTTATATTTATTATATTTAATATATTTAGTTTAGGATTAGTATCGTTAAATTCAGGGCATTAGGAATGGAGACTTTCCTCTATTATGGGGGGAAACTCCTCTTTGAGGTAAGAGATCCTTTGTTTTATTTATTTATTTACTTGCCAACTTGTATGTGTAACTCTAGGATTAGTTCAGGATTTGAAATTCTATCTGCTTCTTTGGTAATTTCTTTAGGGAAATTGTTGAAAAAGTGATGAGGCTCAAGATTTGGGCAGAAACAGCACTGGTTGCCCCTGGTGGATGGTTGGGGAAGGGCACCTTTCTTGGGTCTTTTACATTTCTAGGGGCTTCAGTATTATTCACCAAAACATCCTGGACTGCTTAGAAGGGTAGGAAGTTGAGAGCAACTTGTAGTGATGCTGCTACTTTCTGAGTGGGTTATACCAGTTATTGGAAATAAGGGAGGAGAGGAGAAGTCATCCAGTGGCTGCTCACTTGAGTACATGAAGCTGCTGAGGGAAGGTCATCCCTCACTTTTGGATGTAGGATCACTGATACACTGAGGAAAACCAAGTGCCTATCCCAGGGATGTGCCATGGATATGGTGAAAGTCCTGACCGAGTGTTTGGGGGCTGTTAGGTTCTAAATCAGGAGTGTCAAACTCGCAGCCCACGAGCTGGATGCGTCACGTGTTGGCCCCACCCCCACCCAGTTTAGCGAAGGGGGAAAAAGTCCTGATACATCACGTAACGCCGCCGTTATGGCACAAGTTTGACATCTCGGCTCTAAATGAAGAAACTGAGATTTAATCTTACTGTATGTTGTAGATGTAGCAATGTCTTCTCTGATAACTGTATCGGAGGAAAGATGGATAGAAGCTGGCTCAGGCTGTATGATTTAATAATACATAGTATTTTTATACTGCTGGCTCTATAGGAAGTCTTGACAATTTACATACAGCTGCATAACATCCATACAACTAGTAGTCACGAGGTCTAGAATCACTTTACACTAAACTAGAGATGGGAGGATCCTAGCTTCAGACCATGTTGTCATCAACACTGCCTTGGAGGCCCTGTCAATTGTTTGTACCGCAAGGTTTATCTTGGAAGAAGAGTGCCATTAAAATATTTTAACAGCAGAGCAACTGAAGGCAGCTTCAGCTGTCCCTGCAGCTGGCTAGAGGTGAAATTCAGGTGATGTCATGCGGATTATTGCTTAACAATGGTTAGTGAAGGTCTTCATGCTATGGTTAGAGGGACATGAGGATGAACTAGCTGAGTTGATTCACTCTAACTTTATAAATAAGATTAGCATACGGGATCCAATGGAACTTTTGTTCCTGTTAATCTTTTTTCCATAATTGGGAAATTCTACCATATGTATATTTTTAAAAATCCAAGTGACCTTCTGTGTCCAGAAACTTATCTTTCAAAATTGAGTTGACTTGCTTTGACCCCAGTAGCAAAAAACCATCTGAAGAAAAGCCTTGGAAGTATAATTTCCCAGAATTGTTTTATTTCTCAGTTTAAAAAAAATCTGAAAGAAGACATTTGCCCACCATTGATTTGTGCTGCCACAAAAATTAATGAAAACATGGATGTAGTCAGTAGGGGGTCTCTCTCTCTCTCTCTCCCCCTCCCCATCTCCACTAACTAGGACAGTGTATGTCAACCTTGACCTCTTGAAGATGTCTGGATTTCAACTCCCAGAATTTTCTCACCGGCATGAATTCTGGGAGTTGAAGTCTACACATCTTCAGGTGGCCAAGGTTGAGAAATACTGAGCTAGTGATGCTAAATTTGGCCTTAATTATGACATAGGTTTTTATAAGAAAAAGAAAGATTATGAGGCAATGCTTGGTTTTCTGCCCTAGAAATGTTGCACAATCTTATTGGGCAAAACAGAGTTTGCTTTTATGCATCTATATTATTGACCATCTTAGACCAAGCCAAGTCCAAAAACATGAGAGAATTCCTGGAAGCCTAGCATTCTGACAAACTGTCCCTCAAGAGATATAGACATAAACAATAACTACATACTGTGCAAAAGAGACAGTCAACAAGAAAAAAAGGGAACAAAAAGACCAAAACACTTTCCCACCGAGACAACACTTAGATGAGCATAGACTAACATTGAGATTAACATCCTACAAACAATCAAGAAGTAAACAATACCCCAATCAAGGAAGTACCAAACAAGCTAATGTAAATAGTGCAACAAAAAATCTCCAAGACCACTCCCTCCAACAGTGACGGGGCAAGCTACTAGAAAATAAATTGAGAGCAAACCCCACTCCTTCCTAGCACTGATGATGTTACCTAGTTTGGGAAATGAAACATCTGCAAGAAAGGAACCAGGCTCAGAAAACACCAAGGACCCTTAATTTCTCAAGATTGTCCTTTCTGCTCAAGCATGTTTCTGATGTGACTTTCAGCAGCAGTGTGGATGTTCATAAAGAAATAGGATTGGGAGTGTACTTAGAGTGACGAAAGCATCTCATGATGCATCTTTGGAAAACTGGGCTGCCTGAGCACATTTTGCATTGCCTCAGAAGTACAGGCCAGAGGCAGGAGGTGCGCTACTTCTCCTTGTTCAGTTATAGCCCCCTATGTTCACATCAGAAACTTTTTGTTCAACATAAATAGGGAATCATGTTGATTTTGACTTCTGGAAAGATGGCAAGCAAATAAACAAAGATGATTTGTATTATTCGTCAAGCATGTATTGTAAGACAGATACAAGTGTAAACATAATTATAAATACATGAAATGGATACGAATAAAAGAAAACATTAGGACAGAGATGGTAGGCATGCTGGTACGCTTATGCAAGCCCCCAAGACCAGTCAATGAAGCAGTGGGAGTGGAGAAAGAACAAAGAACCTAATCCCCGGACGTTGATCCTACAAAATGTGGGCTTCACCATTTTCATTTGATGCAGCATGGCAAATTGAAAACAAATTCTAGGAGGACTTTTTGCAGTACTATTTTTTAATCTATTGTGTAGAGAGTTAGAAACAATATATTTTGAAAAATGGGTTCAATCTGCCAAATTGTACAGCCTATGGAAATTGCTGTTTTTCTCTCACACTGACTTCAATAGAGACATACTTCCCCAGAAATGAATAAAGAAATAAATAAAATCCCAAGAAAATTCAGTTTAGCTCCTATCTTATTAGCCTGATTTAATTTAACAGAAAGCAATCTATTATGTTCTACTAGCTGCAGAGGCAGAGCACATAAAAATCAACCCTTTTCATTAATCCAAGCATATATATATATATATATATATATATATATATATATATATATATATACATACACATACATACATACATACATACATACATACATTGTTCTTGTTTGGCTTCGTGTTTGTGGCCGTGAAGAGCTCGCACGGCCACAAACATGAAGCCAAACAACAACAACGCAGCTCACCAGCTCAAATCCCCCTGCAACTCAGACTAAGCTGAGCACAACCAAGCCCCCACCCAAACAGAACACCCCCCATCCAATCAGAGCACAACCAACCCCCATCCAATCAGAGCACAGCCAAGCCCCTAACCAATCAGAACACACCTCCACCCAATCAGAACACAACCAAGTTCCCACCCAATCAGCTCACACCCCCACTAGCAGTTAAAAGGAAGAGACAGCTGCGATCTCACATTGCTCCTGGAAGCACGAAGCCGAGAACACCAGCCTGAAGATGACGAATGAGACTTCGTCGAAACGTCGCCAAGACACTTCCAATTTTACGTGGGAGAAGACCCGAATAACCAAAGACCTACATACAAACACCCGCGAAAACCTGAGAAAACACACACACACACACACACACACACACATATAGGTTTTTTACTACATAAATCAAGATCTTTATGCAACCATAGTTCAGTGAAATCCCATTCAGTAGTTTCTAGGCTTTATCAGACATCAAACCAGCATTTTGCTGTCTATTGTGAGATTTAAGGGAGACTAAGATAGATCTATTTCTGACTAATTTGTCTTCTTCAGTTAGCCACACCCCATTCACTAGTTTCTAGGCTTCACTGAACTATGGCTGTATAAAGATCTTGATTTACGTAGGAGAAAACCTGGCTGAGAGAATAATACACATAAAGGCCTACAAAAAGAGAAGAAAATAAATATTTGACCTTTACAGGGAAGAGACATGAGATGAGGGAACACACACACACACACACACACACACACACATTTAGAGCTAAAGGATTCTTTACAGATTTTTAGAAGTAGAGGGAAGGACAACAAAATAATTATTCTCAGCAGCTTCATCTGTATTCAGCCTGTTTAAGAATTGCTGCTAAAAAGCTAAATCTACCATATTTTGTTCGCACTGCAAGTATTAACATTTTCCTTAGAGGAAGCATATATAAATTCATATGAAAACATAAAGATGCTACAATGTAAGATTGACAATAGATTGATGTAGTTACCTTGCTTTTCAAAAGGTGGCTTTATGGTCCAAGCATTTTGCCAGAACTACTGCAAAGTGTTTTAGAAAAACGGCCAGAGCACAGCCAAAGAACATTGCAACTAGATAAGACTCCAGCCAGTATGATTGTATCCAGATATGGTTTATAATACTTAGTAAATTCGCCTCCTCCAGTTGGCTTGTCCTCAGATGTTGAAAATGTCTTCTTTTGGCAGGTGTGTCTGAAGAAATATAAAGAGTACCAAAGAGACCAAAGTAAGTAACCAACTATTTTGTTTCTGTGAAAACCTGTAGCAGGAGTGGGGGTACAAAAGCAATCCTCTCTCAGCCTCACACCTGACCCTTCCTATTTAGTGGCCAGCCTTAACTTTCAGTGTTGTTGGTGGGATAATATTTAATGTCTTTTGTGAATATTATTTAATAGCACAAGTCTTTTTCCATAAAAATACAGAAATAAAACGCATAGAAGAACTTGCGTTGCTGCAAAGGAGAGAGCTGGCTGAAAAAGATGCGACTATAAGAACTGTAAGTCATTCATTTCTCTCACCATGCTGTTTTTGTCCACATATTTATATTATATGACTGATGTTTGCTTCTTGTAATTTCTGCATCTTAGTTGGAAGAGGAGAACAGCCATTTAGCCAGCAAAGTGGCTGTTCTAATAAGGGAGAATGAGGAGCTGGAGAAGAAAATAAAAGACAATCCAGAAAGTGAATATCATTATAATTTAATATTTTAATTGTTTTCATTCTAAAAAGAAAAGTGATTTATTTCATCTTAAGTTTGACTGTACAAGTTCTAGTTCTTTTGTTATTTTTTTGCCAGGAGATGCTGACAGAGATATGCCTAAGGAGTACAAGGTGCTAAAGGAGAAATACGAGATGTACCAGAAAGTCATCAGAAGAGCAAAGACTGTAAGTATTGTACATGATAGTAAGAAATTAGAACAAGCTTGTTAATCGAGATTTCATCATGCATTAAAAGTTAATTTTAATTATTCAAAATATCTTTTTAAAAAATTTGATAGATTTGTGGAATAAATGGAGATATCGGCCAATGCCAGGAATTCCTCCTTTAACACTGGTGGTGGAAATGGAGAAATTCCCTAAGATTGAATTGAAAGAATGGAGTAGTAAACCAAAAGAAAATCAGATATATAAATGGGAAGACTGGAAGAACAAGATAAAGAATGTAACACAACTAAAAAACGTTTTAGCAGATATTAAATTAAATTGGTTGAATTTAATACAATTAGAGAAATGAATCAAAGTGGAAGAAAGATTTGAGGAGAAAGATAGACAGTTAACAAAATTTGAAATGATTATAAAAGAATGTGAGGTGAATGAAGAATATATAGGTAAAGGAAAAATTGGGGAAATATATAGAATATTAACTGAATTAGAAGAGCAAAAGGTTTAAAATTAATTTGGGAATCAGATTTAGGATAAATAAATAATAATGATTGGAAAAATATTTGGAATAGATGTGTATATAAGAATATGTCAATTAGAGTTAAGGAAAATGAATATACAGTGATATGGAGGTGATACTTAACACCCCGTAAATTAAATCAAATAGATGGTAAATATACAAATATTTGTTGGCGGTGCAAGAAAGAGGTTGGAACACATAAACATATGTGGTGGGATTGTGATAGTGCACAAAAAATACGGGACATGGTGCTTAGAGAAATTAGAGCACTTCTGAATGTAAATTTAGATAAGTCATTGAGAATTGCATTACTGTTGCAAAAACAGGATATAAATGAAACAAAAAAGGAATTGATCGTAAATTTGATAATGGCAGCTAGATTAGTGATGGCTAAATATTGGGGACGAAATTGGGATATTCAAAGAAATGAGTGGTATAATGAAATTTGGAGTATGGCAACAAATGATAAATTAACAACAGAAATTGAATTTTAAAAAGGGATGATCAAAGCAAACAATTATAATGAAATATGCGGGGATTTTATAAAATCAGTGTTGTTGGAAGGCAAAGGGAATAAACCTACTCAAAAATATATGTTGTTTTGGAGGGGATAAGGGCACAGTTAGAATATATTGTATATCTTTTATAGTTGTTATAGAAGAAAAAATAAAAGGAAAAAAAAGGTCTCTGGCATGGGGGTGGACTGTAATATTCATATTTCCCCCCCCCCTTTTTTTTGTATTTAGATATGTACTATGTTTGCATTGTTTGTATTTGTATTATATATATATATATATATATATATAAAACATTAATTTTGATTGTACTTCACCAATTTCTTTTTACAGGAGGTTTCAAAAGAAATTGAAAAAGCCAGAGAACTGATAAGGGCTCGGGATCAGGCAATTGATGACATCTGCTCCGAAATTGTATCCCTACCAGTCCAGGGAAGACCAAGACGGTAAGATTTGTCCTTCCATTTCTTGGAGAGAAATAGACGTGTTTCAGTTAATGATTCTCTACTTTTTTTTTTTTGTAAATATTTTTTATTATTTTTCAAACATAAACATAAAATATAACTTTCAAGAGCAAAAACTCGATCCGGTCATAGATGGTTACCATGCTTACATTCCCTACTTTGTTCTAAAATATTTGTTTAACATTTTTCAGTCTCTGCCAGAGAAGAGTCCACAGAAACACCTGATTGCGTTCAAAAGGTAAATGATACAGTTTTTAAGACATTACATATTTTTATTCTGTAGAAAAGTTGTTATGCAACATTTGGTAATAAAAATAAAATCAATTTTGCAACACAGTGTTTATTCTTTTACAGAATCTAGGCATCAAGCTGTCGGCCGCCGGCCCCTCCAGCAACCGAATCAGAGGAGGAAGTGGAGTGGGATATTTTATGAACAAAGTATTGGCCCTATCATAACTTATACAATTTAACAAATTCAAATACATTTTACTCAGTTACAATTTTTGCCAAGATTTCCTTTTTCCATTTTTTAATCATGTCTTAAAATTTCTATGCTTATTTATATAAACAACATCTAGAACGTGATTGCAAGAGGAGTGGGGACCTCGAGGCGTCTCACATGGGGGGTGCCGCAAGGGTCAGTCCTCTCGCCCCTCCTGTTCAATATTTATGTGAAGCCGCTGGGTGAGATCATCCGTGGTTTTGGGGTGAAGTGCCATCTGTACGCTGATGATACTCAGCTGTACATCTCCACACCAGACCACCCCAACGATGCCCTTGATGTGATGTCTCGCTGCCTGGAGGCCGTGCGGGTCTGGATGGGGAAGAACTTGCTCAGACTCAACCCCTCCAAGACCGAGTGGCTATGGCTTCTGGCGCCCCGATATAGTCAGCAGGTGCCATCGCTAACTATTGGGGGTGAATCTCTGCCCCCCACAGAGAGGGCTCGCAATCTGGGTGTCCTTCTGGATGCACGGCTGTCTTTAGAAGAGCATATGACGGCCGTGGCCAGGGGGGCCTTTTATCAGGTTCGCCTGATTCACCAGTTGCAGCCCTTTCTGGATCGGGACGCCCTACGCACGGTCACTCATGCCCTTGTTACTTCCCGGTTGGACTATTGTAATGCTCTCTACATGGGGCTCCCCTTGAAGAGCACTCGGAGGCTCCGACTGGTCCAGAATGCGGCCGCGCGGGTGGTTATGGGCGCAACTCGTTGTGCCCATGTGACACCCCTCCTGCGCGAGCTGCACTGGCTCCCAGTGGTCTTCCGGGTGCGATTCAAGGTGTTAGTTACCACCTTTAAAGCACTCCATGGCATAGGACCCGGGTACCTCCGAGATCGTCTTCTGCCACCAATAGCCTCCCACCGACCAGTCCGTTCCCACAGGGAGGGTCTCCTCAGGGTGCCGTCAACCAAGTTATGTCGACTGGCGGCGCCCAGGGGGAGGGCCTTCTCTGTGGGAGCCCCATCCCTGTGGAACGAACTGCCCCCGGAAATTCGTAAGATCTCCGACCTCCGGGCGTTTCGCTGCGCACTGAAGACCCTATTATTCCGCCAGGCCGGACTAACAACACAATAGTTTTTAAATTGGGATATTTAAATTTATTGGGGTTTTAAATCTGAGCCACTTTATTTAATTATTTTAAATTTTATATTGTTGTTTTGTTTGTGTTTTTAAACAGGCTGTACACCGCCCTGAGTCCTTCGGGAGAAGGGCGGTATAGAAATAAAATTATTATTATTATTATTATTATTATTATTATTATTATTATTATTATTTGCCAACCATTAATTTGTGCTGCCACAAAAATTAATGAAAGCATGGATGTAGTCAGTAGGGGGTCTCATTCCCTCTCCTCTCCCCATCTCCACTAACTAGGACAGTGTATCTCAACCTTGACCTCTTGAAGATGTCTGGATTTCAACTCCCAGAATTTTCTCACCGGCATGGATTTTGGGAGTTGAAGTCTACATATCTTCAGGTGGCCAAGGTTGAGAAATACTGAGCTAGTGATGCTAAATTTGGCCTTAATTATGACATAGGTTTTTATAAGAAAAAGAAAGATTATGAGGCAATTCTAGGTTTTCTGCCCTAGAAATGTTGCACAATCTTATTGGGCAGAACAGAGTTTGCTTTTATGCATCTATATTATTGACCATCTTAGACCAATCCAAAAACAGGAGAGAATTCCTGGAATGCCTAGCATTCTAACAAAGTGGCCCTCATGAGATACATAGACATAAACAATAACTACGCATTGTGCACCGCCCTGAGTCCACTAGGAGAAGGGCGGGATATAAATTGAATAAAATAAATAAATAAATATTGTGCAAAAGAGACAGTCAACAAGACAAAAAGGGAACAAAAAGACTAAAATACTTCCCCATCAGAATCAACACTTAGATGAGCATAGACTAACACTGAGATTAACATCCTACAAACAATCAAGAAATAAACAATACCCCAATCAAGGAAGTACCAAACAACCTAATGTAAATAGTGCAACAAAAAAATCTCCAAGACCACTCCCTCCAACAGTGACAGGGCAAGCTATTAGAAAATAAATTGAGAGCAAACCCCACTCCTTCCTAGCACTGATGATGTTACCTAGTTTGGGATATGAAACATCCAGTGGTGGGTTTCAAAATTTTTTACTACCAGTTCTGTGGGTGTGGCTTGGTGGGCGTGGTATGGCTTGGTGGGCGTGGCTTGGTGGGCATGGCAGGGGAAGGATACTGTAAAATCTCCATTTCCTCCCAATCAGCTGGGACTCGGGAGGCAGAGAATAGATGAGGGCGGGGCCAGTCAGAATTTTTACAACAGGTTCTCCGAACTACTCAAAATTTCCGCTATCGGTTCTCCAGAACTCTGGAGTTTCCACCTCTGGAAACATGTGCAAGAAAGGAACCAGGCTCAGAGAGCAACAAGTACCCCTCATTTCTCATTATTTTCCTTTCTGCTCAAGCATGTTTCTGATGTGTCTTTCAGCAGCAGTGTGGATGTTCATAAAGAAATAGGATTGGGAGTGTACTTAGAGTGACGCAAGGCCAAGCGTCTCATGACGCATCTTTGGATTTTGTATTGCCTCAGAAGTACAGGCCAGAGGCAGAAGGTGTGCTACTTCTCCTTGTTCAGTTATACAGAAATAGCCCCCTATGTTCACATCAGAAACTTTTTGTTCAACATAAATAAGGAATCATGTTGATTTTGACTTCTGGAAAGATGGCAAGCAAGTAAGCAAAGATGATTGTCTTGAAACCAATCCCAGCATCAAAATCTAATCCCAGGACATTAATCCTATAACATGTGGACCAGGGGTGAAATGCTTCCGGTTCGGATCCGCTCAGGCGAGTAGGTAGCGATGGTGGCGGGCAGTTCGGAAAACCGGTAGCAAAAATTCCTGCCCCCGCCCATGCCCAGCTGAGCCCCGCGATCATCAGAGCCTTTTTTTCCTTTTAAATGGCTCTGACCAGCCAAGCTCTGACATCCCAGCTGAGTTGCCTGCTAATCAGGCAACTCAGCTTGGATCGCCAGAGCCATGTAAAAGAAAAAAAGTTTCTTTTTTTCTCCCCCCCCCCAGCCTCCAGCTTGCTTACCTTAGCTGCTGATCACATGACGATCGCAATCCATGCATCAGCAAGCAACTGGATCTCCCTGCCTGCAATCAAGCTAATTGGTGAGCAGCTCTATCTGCAACTTTAAGACTTGTGGACTTCAACTCCCAGCAAAGCTGGCTGAGGAATTCTGGGAGTTGAAGTCCACAAGTCTTAAAGTTGCCAAGGTTGGAGACTCCTGTTCTATTGGGTAAGTTTTTTTCCCCTTTGGGAGCTTTAAAAAAAATAGTTAATTGGGTCTTTTTTTAGTTGTTCTTTTTTTAGACTTAGCCATTTAAAGTTTAGGAATTTTAAAATTTAGCTGTTTATATAAAAATAAAATAAAATAATATTTGTGCAGCTTTCTGAGATTTAGTGTGTTTCTGTAGTGTTTCACTCTAACTACACAAACACACAAAATCTCACAAAGCTGTATGTGGAATTTTGTGTGTGTAAAGTGTGAAAGTTGTTTTTTTGGGCTTTTTGTGGCTGTGTGAGGTTCCTGCTTGTTGCAGGGCCATTTTTTTAAAAATTTGATTTATATGCCGCCTTTCTCCGGAGACTCAGGGCGGCTTACAATGCGCTAAGCAATAGCCTTCATCCTTTTGTATATTTATACAAAGTCAGCTTATTGCCCCCACAACTGGGTCCTCAATTTAACTACCTTAGAAAGGATGGAAGGCTGAGTCAACCTTGAGCCTTGGCGAGATTCGAACCTGCAGTAATTGCACGCAGCTGTTCTTAATAACAGGGTGCTTTAGACCACTGTACTACCAAGGCTCATTTTGAGTCTAGCACAGCTGCTTTTACATTGTGGGTGAGCCAGTTGTGTTGTGTTGTGTTTTGTAGGTTAAAAAAGGGCAAAGAAGTGACATTGACTTGGCCACGCCACCCAGTCACCTTACCACCAAGCCCCACCCATTAATTAAGCCACACACATAGAACCGGTAGCAAAAAATTTTAGATTTCACCCCTGATGTGGACCCCACCATTTTCACTTGATGCAGCATTGCAAATTGAAAACAAATTCTAGGATTACTTCTTGCACTGCAATTTTTTAAATCTATTGCAGTGGTTCTCAACCTTCCTAATGCCGCGACCCTTTAATACAGTTCCTCATGTTGTGGTGACCCCCAACCAGGGATGGGTTCTAAATTTTTTTTACTACCGGTTCTGTGGGCGTGGCTTATTTTGTGGGCGTGGCTTGGAGTTCATGTGACTGAGTGGGCGTGGCTAGCTGGTCATGTGACCGGGTGGCCATGGCTAAGTGTATAGGGAAGACTCAGAGGGCTGAAAAAAGTCATTTCTGACAGGTCCTCACACTTTTGACTGGTCCTCACACTTATGACCATCCTCACATTTATGCCCGTGCAGCATTCTTAACAAGTCACTCATTTCACAACTGCTTCTCTTCACCATGGTGACAAGATAGGGCAAAAACGTAAAATGTGAGGACAGTCGTAAGTTCGAGGACTGGTCAAAAGTGCGAGGACCAGTCAGAAATAACTTTTTCAGCCCTCTGAGTAGTCCATACGCATAAAAGGATACAGCAATAGAGAGGGATGAAGGAAGGGAAGGGAAATTAGAGTAGGAGTGAGGGTAAGAGAGGGAGGAAGAGAGGAGGAAAAGGAGAAAGGAAGAGGAAGTAGGGAGGAGAAGAAGCGGGGGGGGGGGAAGAAAGTAAGAAGGAAAGAAAAGAGAGAGGTGGTAGGTTTGAGGAGAAAGATTGCTGTACAGTAAAAAAGATGAAATGGAAGAAAGGCAACCCCAAACAAATATAAAGATATTAAGATAAAGAATGAATTGGTAAACTTTAAAGAATAAAAGAGAACAAATATGAATAAATAGCAATAATTAGAAACACACATACAAACATACAATGTATTTTCTTTGAACAGAGTTTTT